TACTTAGGGAATTACTTGCATAGTTAAAGTAAAAATTATTTATATAATTAAAGTATAAAATTAGGTTTATTAATAATAATTTTATTATATATAATAGAAATAGTACTAGGGAAAGGGGCAAGCCTTATAATATATTATAATATATTAAATATATTATTATTATAGTAAATTTTAGGTATATTTTTATACTTTATTTATTAAAAAAGCTTATAATTAAAATTAATAATACACAAGGCTAGCCCTGCTTTATTATTTATTAAAGTAAATATTATAATAAAATAATATTAAAGGCACTTAAAATATTTATAATAACTATAGTTACCTCCTGGTTTTATAAGAGTATTATTTTTATATTATAGGTAAATAAGGCTATTAAATTTATAATTAAATACTTAAGTAAGGCACTATACTATTATAAGCTTAATATTTTTTATATTAATATAATAAAAGCAACGCGGCGCGTTATAATTTATTTAAGTTTTTTTTAATATTAATAATAATATTCTAGGGCGCTAGGACCAGGGTAAGGACTTATTTTTTTATTACTTTTTAAAAGTATTATTATTTTTATAAGCTTTTATAATAAGGGAAAATATTTTAAGTATAGGTATTAATTATATAGCCTGTAAATAGCCTGCCTAATATATTTTTAGTAAGCTTTTAAAATATAAATAATTACCTAGTCTACTTTAAGAAAGGTACTACTTATATTAATAATATTTTTTAACCTTTTTTAATAAGATCTTTCCTAGCTAATAAAGGTATTTATTTTTTTACTAGTATTTTAGTGCTAAGAAATTAAAGTTTAGGTTATTATTTATATTAAACTATTTTAATATTATTTTTTTATAAAATATTAGCCTTTTCCCGCGTGTTTTTAATTACTTTATTATTTATTAATAATAAAAAAGCCTTAAGCCTAGGCTTTAGCTTATACTATATTATTATTTAATATAATTTTTAATTATTTTTAATATTATTAATTATTTTAGTTTAATAAGCGCGTTTAGTTTTGCGGATTATAGCTAAAAACTACTTTTTTATTTTAGGGTAGGGTTTGCTACCCAGGCTTAATAATTTTTATATATTTAATTAATTACTAGGGGGTGCTGCGGCTTTTTAGGTTAGGATATTTATTAATTATTTATATAACTTTTATAATAATATTATTAAGGGACTTGGTATATTAATTTAGTATTTTTATATTTTTAAGTTTCCTAGGCTAAAAAAATATTATTTTATTTTTTATAAGCTTAGCTAGGCGCTTAAGCTTATAATTTAATATATTATAATAATATTATTTTAATATTTTTTAACACCCTAGCACTATAGTAACCAGGGTTTAGTAATTAAAGTTATTATATAATTTAGGTATTACTAGCGTGCAGGTAAAAAAAAAATTTAAAAAAGTTAAATTAAAAATATAACTAGCTTTATATATAGCCATGCCTAGTTTATTAATATAATTAATATTATTATTACTAGCTTACCTAGTAATTTTTTTACTATAGTATTAGTTATTTACCCCGGGCTTAAAAATATTATAAATAATATTAAAATTTTTATTAATTATATAGCCTGGGGTAGGGATTAGTATAATTAAGTAATTAATTATTTTATAGGTAATTAGCTTTTAATATATATTTAAAACCTTAATATTATTTATTATAAGTTAAAATATATCCTAGCTTTAAACTAGGTAATATTACTTAGTATATAATACTTTTTTTTATAAATATAGGTAAGTATTTTAAGGTACTTTTTTAATTAGTTTTTATAATTATTTTAAATATTTACTAGTATATAATATTTATAAGCTAGGTGGTTTTAGGTTTTTATACCTATGGTAGTTTAGGGCTTTTAAATATAGGTAATATTATAGCCTTACTTATAGGCTAGTTATAAAATTATAATATAATTTAATATAAATTTATTTATATTTATTTAATAAATAATAAAATCTTATTATTATTAGGTATTATTATAATAATAATTACTATAGTGCCTTTTTAATATTTTATTATTAAAGCTTAAAGGGGGATTTAGTATTAACCTTTATTACCTAAGGTAAAAAAGGCATACCCGCGCTAGCTAAGGCAGGTTAAATTAATTTAATAAAAAGCTACTTAAAATTTTAATTTTTAGTAAAAGTATTAAACCACGGGGTATAATAATTAATAATTATTATAAAGTTTTACTTATTTATTTTAAGTTTTTTTATAATATACTTTTAAGAATTCTCCTAGGGTAAAAACTATTTAATTTAGGTTTAAAGTTAAGTATTTATATTAATTTAAATATATATATTTTAATACTAGTAAGCACTATAATAGCGTATATTATTAAATTTTTTTAAATAAGTAAACTAAGATTTTATTTTTATATTTAAGGGCTACTAGGTAGTTATTATATTTTATTAATTATAAACTTAGGTAGTTTATATAACATATAGGATTTTTATAGTTTAGGTTAATAAAACCTAAATAGTTTATTATTATTATATTATATTATATATAATATATGGTGTAGTTATAGCATGCTAGGTAATAATATTTTTAATATTTAAGGTTATATTAGGAAACTAGTTAGTACTTTTTAATAAGCTAGTATTACTAGCTTTAATTAAATAAGGTAAATATTTTAGGCTATTTTAAAAAAAATATTACTTAAATAATATGCCTAGTACTAGTATTAGGCTTGTATTTTAAAAAAATAAGTTTAATTAACTTAAGCCTAGTTTATATTATAACCTTATTATAAATTAATATAATAATATTTATTTAGCTATTATTATATATTTATATAATACTTAGTACTTCCTATATTATATAATTATATTACTTTTAAAAAATATATATATTAATAGCGCCTAGGGTATAGTAAATTATATTAACTATTTTATTAATTATTAAAAAAATTTTAATAAAAAAGTTATTAAAAATAATACCCTAGCTTATATAAGTAATATTAATTTTAAAAATAGCTATAATTAGAATTAGGCCTAGTATATATTTAATAAAGGCTTATTAAATAATATATACCTTTAGGCGTGTTATTAGCTTATTATTAAAAAGGGTAATTAGCACCTTATAATTATTTTATATAATTAAAACTATAGTAAAGCTATTATATGTTAATTAAGTTATTAAGGTGCCTAAAGGGGGCACCTTGCCTAAGGTAGTATTAATTAAAATAAAAAAAACTTGCTTTAAAAGGGGTAAATTAAGCCTTTAAATTTTTAGGAATTCCCCCCTAGGTAATAATTTTACTAAAAGTTATAGTAATAGTAGGCTAATTATATATATATAAAAAAAATATAATTAATATTATTAATATTAGTATAGCCTTTTAAAAAAATAAAATAAATAAACTTATTATAAATATTATAAGTAAAGGCTTTTTGATTTTAGGTTTTTTATTTAATTATAAAGTTATTAATAATAATTATAAAGCATATAAAAATTTTATACTTAATATATACTTAATATTTTTACTTATTAAGTTAATTATAAAGGGCCTTTATAGCCAGGCTAGGCTAGAAAGTTAATATATTACTATTTTTAATAATAAAAAAATAGGCTTGCTAGGGACCTTTTTTTATTTTTTTATAATATAAAGGTTAAAGGGGGATAGGGGGTCTTATAGTTATATAAAGTTAGTTAAATTAATACTTATAGGTTAATTAAAAGTATATACCTTAATTTTAGTTATTATACCGCAGGGAGTAATTAAAAAAAAAAAGGTTAAAAAAAAAATTAGGATAATAAAAATATATATTTATAAGACTTTTAAAGTGTCCAGGGCCCTTATTTAAAGGTACCCCTAGATTGCTGAGAGTTATAAAGGTGCCCAAAGCTAGTGTGGGTTCTACACCGTTGTTTTACGGCCATATATCACTGTTCCAAAGACTGGCAAGTTCGAGGCCACAGGGCATAGTGACCTGGAAAGTGTCAATCAAGCTCATAGTCCTGAAGGCTGCAACCCAAGCTCTCTAAACAGCCAGATTGGTCACAGTGAAATCGACATGCACTTCTGAAGACTATATGCCTTGCCCTCATCCCTGAGGCAATGGCTACGGCAGTGTCATTGTATGTAACCTGCTCTCCTATCTAGGTAACTCCAGACGTCAACCTGCGCAACTAGGGCTCTGTATGAGGGCAAAGACTGCCGCGGGTTTCCAAGGTTACTACCTAATAAGCTTGATGCTGGCGATTGCGTCAACACCGAGCATGCTGGGTACGCCCTCAACATCCAACGAGCACTGGACAAGGTTAAGGTGAAAGGCTAACATGCTATTGAACAGCGGTCTCCATCTGCAGCACAGGAGCCAATGCATCTTTGACTTGTAAGTCAACAGTCAACTCATGTGCAAACTTCTGACGGACAGACATAGCGCAGTGCCAATTGCCCGCCACCTTTCACAGCAGCTGCAGGTGCAGGAGGGATGCTACTCGTTGCAGCATCTGGACAAGCCAAAGTCTGAGATGTATTCGGGAGTAGGCGGATGGACCTTTCCCCAAGGTCTGCACCGCCGAGTGGCATTTGCCAGTGTCAGATTTACTATTTTAGACTCAATGACATGATTAGGTTCGGTTACTCTCTATTTGGAACACAGTTGCTTGGGTATGGAAGCAGCACAGTATGTAATCACTGAGTTGCAACCGTCCACATATGGTACCCTAATCCTGGAAGAGTGGTGAGATAATGATATAGCTTACTCGTGACGTTCGATCTCGAGTACGAAGTGTCATTGACCAAGGCAGCTGCCAGAATCCGTTTAGCGAGGATTGTCTTGCTTAGCCCTGGGTAATAGAGAGATTCTGAACAAAACTGCTGATCTCAAGTTGCCATACGACTCTCGTCAGTCTCATTTCACCATAACCCCGATCACAATACCACAGTGTCAAGGCAGCCATCTATCCTCAGACACTACCTCCTCAAGTCTAGTTTCTTCCCAAGTCTCTAAACTTCGTCCCTATCCTTATCTGCCATAATCAGCCATGCCACGCATCAGCCTAGTCGCCCTATCCACCCTCGTCCTCCCCCTATCCCTAGGCCTAGGCTGGATCTCTACACCTTACCAACAACAACAACCACAAACCCACCAAAAATGCACCAACGGCCTCCTCTTCAACGGCACCCACTGCAAGCGCTGGACGCACCTACACTGCCAGGCCCCAGAACTCCACGGCAACGAGTGCCTCTTCCGCATCCCCGTCTGCCCGCCCCCGCTGCAGTCGAACGGCACACACTGCGAGTTCGTTATGGAGCCCGACCCGGCTGCATCTGGTGTGTCCGGACAGGGGGACGGAGCGTATCCGAACCCGCAGGCGCAGGTGCGGATGCTTGCAGGTGGATATCCACCAGCTTACGCAGGTGCAGATAAAGGTGCTGCGCCCGCTGGATTTGGATTCCCGGGCCAGGTTGAAGGCAGCCAGAACGTGAAGCCCCCGCCGGTTTCTGCGGCAACCAAGAACAAGATCTACAATGCCAATGTCGACTACGACGGCGTTTGTCCCCCGGGCGCGAGGTACGAAGGTGGGCAGTGCATCGCCATCGCCATCGAGAATCCCTGCCCGCCTGGGACATCCTTCGACGGGACATATTGCCGCGCCTCGACCGTAGGTTCTGGTGGCTGGGCGAGCCCTATCAACAGCTACAGCTACAGCAACAGCAACATTAATATCAATGCTGGATCAGGACCGGGGCCCGGATACGCGAGGTCCGGACAGAAACATCGACAGAACGCGGTCTGCCCGCCCGGAACCAAGTTCGAAGCCGAGAGCGGGGTGTGCGTTCACTCTCCCACTTCCCCAGCGGATCTGTGTCCGCGCGGCACAACGTTCGACGGGCGGTATTGCGTTGCGCGCTAGTCCCGCGCAGGACAAAAGAAGAGCAAGACGAGGGAAGGGGGAAAAGCCCCGAAGCCTGGCTTGGAGGAACAGACAGGCCAGGGGGGGATGTGCGGCCTGGGACCCCGACTTGTTGACTGACGACGGGCACCGTGGGGTGGTGATTGTGTACCGTACCTACCATACCTAGCCCTTCCGTGTGACTTATTACTCCGGACCATACATAGATACACACGCTTTGGTCAGGAAACACGTTTGCGATTGCGATTGCGATTGCGAGTGTATATTTGAGTTCCGAAAGCGTCCAGTACGTATATTTGGTCCGATGGTTCCGAAGCAATTCTGCCAGTTGCTCGTGTCTGGATCTATGCATGATGCATGCCCACGTCGCCTAATGTTGAGGTTATGGAAGATAGGTAGATGACATCTTGAATGAGCGCCCGGGATGTCGAGGATGGGGAACCTTACATCCATGCATGTGGATCGAACATTGCTACACTATCTTCGTGACGTAGACCTGCTGACATGGGACATTGGTTCGAGAGTGGTGATAACTGTAGGTACTAAGTAGCCGTCTTACTGTCTATGATGCATACACCTGGTAGTGGAGGAAGTCAGTACCATTCTTATGGTATTTTGAAATCATCTAGCAGACTTGGGTGCTCTTCATCACGGGCCCAGCTTCTGTTGCTTACTGCAGACTTTTCTAGGACAGAGCTTCTGTAGTCACATTCCTAGGTATCTCCGTAATGATGACCCTGTAGCTATTGATTCCGTAGCTGAAATACACACGCTCAGTGTACTACAAGCTATAGCTAAAGAAGTCGAGGACCAAACCACAACGAAAATGAACATCAGGAGAGAATGCAAGTTCCATTGCAGCTCGATATAGATCCTAATACGGCCAACGCTCCACTCCCAATCCACACTGACCATCAATCACGAAACCGTGTACCATTTTTCCTCGAGAGGCGAGACCGGCGGGCAGACATGCATCTCGTAGCACTCGGGCCTCGTCGCCGCGCTGCACCTCTGCCCATCGAACGTCGTGCCGGGCGGACAATCCGGCCTGGAGATCACCACGCACGTGCCATGATCCAGCCTGGTGCCTGGCGGACACGACGGTCCGTCCGTCGAGACACACTTCGTGCCATCGAAGGAGGTATTCGGCGGGCACTGCGGCGGGGACGTCGAGACGCACGCGCCCCCGTTGAACGCCGTTCCGGGCGGACAGTCCGGCCGCTGCTGGTCGGTGCAGTCTTTGCCGTCGAAGGTTGTGCCCGGCGGGCAGGTGGGGTTGGTTGTTGCGACGCAGCGGGCGCGCGAGGCGTCGAAGGTTGAGCCGGGCGGGCACTGCGGGGGGTTGGTGTGGACGCAGGTCTTGCCGTTGAAGGTCAGGCCGGGCGGGCAGCCGGGCTTCGCGGTGGCGGCGCAGTTGGTGCCGTCGAAGCTGGTGTTTGGGGGGCAGGTTGGCGGGTCGCGGTGGAGGCAGGCGTGGCCGTCGAAGAAGGTGCCTGCTGGGCAGTCTGGGCGCTTGTCGGCGACGCAGTGGCTCCCGTCGAAGGTGTAGTCTGGTGGGCAGCGGGGCCGGTCGTGGTGGACGCAGTCTTTGCCGTCGAAGGCGAAGCCTGGTGGGCAGGTTGGGGGCTGCGGGGTGATGCAGTCCTGGCCGGTGTATGTGGCGCCAGGGGGGCAGCTGGGGGTGTTTGGGTAGCGGCAAGTCTGTCCGACCAGGGTCGAGCCGGGCGGACACTGCGGGGGCTGGCTGGACATGCAGTTGTGGCCGCTGAACACGGTCCCTGGAGGGCACTCTGGGGGGGTGGAGGCAATGCAGTTGTTTCCGTTCAAGGCGGTGCCGGGTGGGCAGGATGGGGGTTCGGTGGAGACGCAGTTGCGGCCGTCGAAGCTGGTGCTGGGCGGACACTGGGGAGGCTCGCTGCTCAGGCAGACATGGCCGTTGAAAGCGGTACCAGGGGGGCAGGAAGGCTGGCTGGATGAGACGCAGTCCTTCCCGTTGAAGTTGGTGCCTTCAGGGCAGCTGGGCTCGACGGTGGGCGTGTAGATGCATTTATCGCCATTGAATGTGCTTCCAGGAGGGCATGGCTTGCCGGGTTGTGGTTTCAGGACACAGACTGATCCATCCCAGGTGAGCCCGCTCACACAGCAGCGGGCCTGGCTCTGGTGGGTGGACAGGCTTTGCCCCGGCGGACACGCAGGGCCTCCCTGGGTCACGCAAAGCGAGCCTTGAAGCACGGTGCTTGGGGGGCAGCTTGGGGGCTGCGTGTCCTTGCACACTTTACCGTCAAAGACGCCGGTGCTGCAGGTTGGAGGGAGCTGCGAGATGCAAGCAGCGCCGTCAAACCGAGTTCCGGGCGGGCAGTCGGGCTTGGAGGAGGTCACGCAGGTGTTGCCCTGGAAGCGGAGCGGCGGAGGACATGAAGGAGGCACGATGGAGACGCACACGCCGTTGGAAAGCTGGGTTCCAGGTGGACAGACAGGGGGCTGGGAGCTCGAGCATCCGCGGCCGTCGAACTGCATGTCCTCGCCACAGGACGGGGACTGGGCCGTGACGCAGATGTTGTCTTTCAATCTGTAGTTCGGAGGACACGCGGCAGGGCTGGTTCCGACACACGCATGGCCATTGTACACGGTTCCAGGGGGGCATGAGGGACTGGCCTCGCCAATGCATGCATTGCCGTCGAAACGGGCCCCGGGGGGGCAGATTGGAGGCCGATTGGAGATGCATTGTTTGCCGTCGAAGTTGAAGGCTGGGGGGCAGGATGGGTCGGCGACGCAGGTATTGCCCAGCTGCAGCGTGTTTGGAGGGCACACGGAGGTGTGGAGGAAGATGCACTCGCGGCCATTGAAGACCGTCCCGATGGGGCAGCACTGGGGGTTGCCGCTGTCGTCGGTTGAGATGTAGAAGTCGTGGAGGGTGATGGGCCGCGCGGGGGGGAGGACACTGATGTCGGACGCAGGGACGCTTAACGGTTGCTGATCACCAACAACGGAGTGGAACAAGGCAGACACACAGAGGAGGATCCACGGGTTCATCTTGCAATTGTTACTCGATCTTGATGCTTGAATATGGGTGAATATTGATATCCAGCAAACACACACGCACGTTCCAGCGCTTTATAGACAGCACTACAGCACTTGGGAATCCACCCGGCAGTCTGACACCATGCGAATGTGTAGGTCAGTGTGGATGAAGTGTTGCGGTCATCATGGACAGATGTGTCAATGTTGAGGTTGCATTTATGAATCATGGACAGTGAGACATGCTTGGAGGCATCATGGATGATTGTCTATTAAAGCATGAAATCATCGACATACATAAGCAGACATCATGATGCCTCCTGCTGGTCTGTAATGTAACAGAGGAGCATGTTAGTCCTTGAAGGCTGTTACATTGTGTATAAGCATTACATGTTCTTTGCTGAAAGAAGGACTCGTTGCTACACACATGGATGATGCAATCTGACAGCTGCAGGGATTCCTTGTGCAAGTCCATTGGTTGGTGTGGAAGGAGCGGCCCGGACGAAGTTACACAATGACACATACACAATGGAACCAAGTATGGATATCCAATCAGAAAGCATTCCCAGAGTCCATTCCTGGGAACCACTCAAATACACAATGCATTGCCCAATCAAATTCACAGTCCATCCCTTTCAGCCTCGGGAGCCACAGCCCGTGCGAGCCCTACAGCGCCACTGCCGTAGTCATACACGCTGTACCACCGCCGCAGGAACGCATCCCCCAGGATGACCAGCGGCCCACTGGGCGCCTTGATATCCACAGCCTTGACAATGCTGCTGCACCCCAGCTTATCCTTCTGCGTATACTCCTCCGGCCCAAGCGAGAAATTGTACCCGCCCATGGTAAAGACAATCTCCGGCAGCGCCGCCCGGCTCTTACACTTGACCTTCCACTCGCCGTACGCGTCCTTCGTGGCGCCCATCTGCCGGTGAATGATCTCAGACGTCACAGACGGAACGCTGATATGGGACGTCCCCGTATCAAGAATCACGCCTGTCCCACTCATCTCCGTAAACTCACCACCCACGGAAACGCCATCCAGCTCGACCTCCCAGAACGACTCCTCGCGCAGGGGGATGACGCTCAGGTCTCCTTCGTAGCGGGCCGTATCGTACCCGCCAAAGGTAACCTCGGACCCCTCGCCATCCGGCGCATCCGTAAGATAGAACGCGAAGATCGGGGAATCGAGCAGCCGCTCCGCCAGCATGGTGTAGAACGGGGGCGGGGTGTGCAGGACAGACAGCGAGTCGAACGCGAGGCCGAACACGCCGTCGAATTTGCCGTGCGTGAACGCCCGGCCGAGAACCTCGGTGGATTCTGCGAACAGCTGCTCGGTGATTTGGAGGTCGCCGATTGCGACCCGCTCGCGCGACATGTAGCCCGCGATGCTGCCGGAGCCGTACGAGATGGAGAACTGCGTGTCGTTGCGCTTGTAGGTTGAGGATAGGGATGAGTTGTACCTGCTGTGCAGGATGCAGGCGAGTGACTCGCAGTTGATCGAGGGGACCCAGAGGTTTGAGCTGCCCGTGTCTAGGATCACCTTGAACTTTTGGGGGGGTGAGCCGATCTCGATTTCGGCGAAGTCTAGGGCGGATTAGTTTGGTTGTAAGCTAGATAAGGGAACTGACACTGGGCGTTGAAGTAGCTGTCGAGGGGGAAGTCGTGGTGTTGCATTTCGTGGACGGCCTCGCTGAAGAGGACCGACTGGGGGATGCCGGGCGAGTATCGCGTTGCAAAGGCGTCGATGTCGAACGGGGCCTGCTGCATGAGCTCACAGCCAACCTGGGCATGGAGTGACTTACAGTATCTGGCACTTTGTGCAGCTGCAGCTTTTGCACGGCCGCCGAGGCAGCCCCAAGCAGAGGGCAGAGGAATACACCCTTCATCGTCCTGATGGTCTACAATTCGAGGTATAACTCGGTGACTAGGCTCTGCTCAGCTAGACAGCTGAACCTCAAGTGCACTCAAGATAAATGCAGACACAGTCGGAGCCTCATGCACTGTTCTCCTACACACGTTCCGGAGTCATGGCATCAATGACCCAGCAGCATGTGCAGTGTATGAAATCGCACCCGTGGACGTCACCAGGTATGACAAGAACAAGGTTCCCTCGGACTTCAATGGAAACAGGAGGCCAGGGCATGCCATAGCTCCAGTAGAGTTTGCTCTATGCCCACCTACAATGGCCCTCCAGCTCCTGCAGTACGAACCGCCATGTAAGCCAAAGCCTTTCCCTCCAGAATACCGTGCCTTGGTAGCACCAGACAGCCCAGCCTGACCTACAAGGCTGTCGTCATCAGCCCTGCATGGAGTAGCCCTGTTCTACGTCAAGTTTACTGCAGGCCAAGATGAGTCCCTCAGCGCTCAGCTGCAATCGCCATCGTCACCAGCCTGCATGCGGTATCCCTGCTCACCAGTCCACGCCACGCAGAACGAGGTTACATACGTGGTCCATGATCCATCTGATCTATCAGTTGTGACGTCCGGCAATGGAGTGCCCACGGAAGCCACCGGATCTGGATAATGGCCTGAGCGCAGTGCTTAGAAAAGTAGACAGCCTTTGCGGTATCATTCCTCCAATGCACCGCCTAACCACCTACAAGCTCCTTTCCATCTCGAAGATCTATACTGCATACCACCCAACATGAAGAGTAACAGCCTCGCCCTCTACGCCCTCACCCTAACCCTCACCCTAACAGCTCCAGCCTCCGTCGCCGCCGACCCAACCATCGGCAAACGCGAATACGACAGAATCTGCCCACCAGGCAGTCTCCCCACCGAGCACGAAGTCTCGCCGGGGTACAAAGCAACCTACTACTGCGACACGCTGCCGCCGCTGCAGGGCAAGTCGCAGTGGAACCTGCCGTCGATCGACGCCTGCGCCCTGGCCTGCAACACGCCCGAGTGCCGCGGCGCGTCCTGGGAAAAGCGCAACGGCATCTGCTGGCTCTATACCCGCGATCCTGCCGAGGGGGGCGGGTACGTGTGGATCACGGCGGACAGGGCGTTTTCGGGCCCAGGCCCAAGCCCGGGGGTGCCGAGTTCGTGTCCCGCGGATTTGGCGGCTTGTCAGGCGGGAAGGGAGCAGTGTTTGCTTGACAAGGGCGCTCTGGACGCGCGGTACAGAGCGTGTGAGGCGGCGCGTCTGGACTGCGAGGGGAAGCTTGCGGTGTGTAGTGCTGGGGGCGGGAGTCTGGCGGCGTGCGAGAAGGAACGGGGCGACTGTCTTGGGCGGGAAGGGCTGTGCAATGCGCAGCTCAAGACGTGCCGGGACTCGTTATCGGCGCAGGACTGCAGTGCGTGTTTGAGGGAGCTGGATAGCTGGAGTAGTCCTGGGGCGCCGGGGACTTGTGAGCTTTCTTCCCTTTCTTTCTCCCGTGAACTGGGCTCTGACATACCGGTATACTCTAGGCCTCAACGGGATGTGGAAGACTGAATCGCTGAACGGGAAGAAGATTGTTACGCTGTGCGGCTATAGTACGCTACCTCTTTCCTTTTTATAACAGGTATGGTTCGCTAACGCTATCCAGCTACGAACGCAAAGCTGGCCCAGCACCCGGCCACTCTTGCGCAGTGCGTGGACCGGTGTGCGTTGGATCCGGCTTGCAAGGCTGTGAACTACGACAGGCAGTGGCAGGCGTGCTACACTGCGTCTGTGATTGGCAGCGATGGGATCAAGCCGAATCCGAACAGCGATGTGGTGTTGCTGGTGGGTTGAACAGATGGTTAGGGTTTTCTAGCGGTTGGTATGTGGCAAGTGAGTGTATGTATGTAAGGGTAAAAGTTGATAAATCCATCTACTTTGTTTGTGAGGTGTGATAGTGCACTTCTAGATGGGATGGTCTAGATAGCGGTCTCACAAACCATGGATTGTTTCTGTGATGTTTGAGATATAGGTTCAGTATATATGTTCGAATCTAGATGCCAGGTGGATAGAGATTGCTTGTATCACAACAGTAAACAAACAAACAGCTCAATTCCAGGGATAGCCTATAGACCTATGGCAGCTACACATAAAGCACTCTTGTCGTCTGGTCCGCATACTCCTTCAGCCCCTTCCCAGTAACACTCTTAAACCATGCATCCAACTGCCCCCGCCGCTGATCAAACTCCCCAACATTCAGCTCCCCATTAACGGTAAAGTAGTCCGCCTTCAACGTAACCGTATCCTCCTCCTCCTCCGTCTCTTCCACGCGAGTCTGATGCCCAAAGAGCAAATCCCTCCAGGACAAAGGCGTCTCAACCCCGCCGGAGTTATACCCGGCCTGTGCCCCGGTGCTACTAGCAGCCTCGGTGCTCTTGGAAGTGTCCTTCTTCGTGCTGGAAGCGGAATCCTTCGCAACGAGCTCGCTATAGATACCCGCTTTCACCCGCAGCAGGTGCATCTTGATGAGCGGGGTCTCGCGGTAGAACGGGTTCGTCGGGCCGCCGATGTTCTTGCGGTTGATGCGGCTAGACAGGAAGAAGAACGCCAGCTCCCTGTCTTCGTCTTCGCCCTCACCATCCAGCGGAAGCGCCTTCAGCCCGTCGACGAACTCCGTCAGCCGGCCGTCCAGCTCCTTCATCACGCCACTGGAGTTGCCACCAACAACAACATCCTCAAACAGCACATTGAGTAACTCGCGGTGGACATCAGCCCTTGCAACCTGCCGATTAACCGCAACACGCGGGGCCGGACTCGCGCGGAGAAGCGAGGTGAACCCCCGCGTGAACTTGTCGTACATGGTATCCGCGACGTTGTTGAGGGCCATCGCGACTTCCTCGGGGGTGGAGAGGGTCTCGTACAGGCCTTTTTCAACCACGTCGAATGCGGTGCCCACGACGAGGGCGCTGGTCATTTCGAGGAGCTTGGCGTGCTGGTCGGAGGGGATCTCGCCGCTGGGCACCACGAGGAATTTGGGTGCGAGGGGGACTTGGCCGGCGAGGACTTGGGCTTTGGGGGGGAGGGTTGCTGTTGAGAGGAACTTGCGGAGGTCGTCCATGGCTGCTATGGTGGTGGAAATCTGATCTGAGATTCAATGTGGTGTGAGGATGGACGGAGTAACAAAACGGTTTGGGAGTGTCAGTCAGGCACTTTATAGCAATAGTCATAGTCTATGTCTCTACTAGCCAAGGTTAGACTGTAGACCACCTAGGTAGGTACCCCAAGCTCTGGGGCAGAGGTCCGTGGAGGGGGGGGTCGGGGGAGGTCCAGAATATGGTAGTAGGGTTAGCAGCAATATGGATGACGCCTACGGAAGTCTGAGCAAAGTCGTGAGATGCTACAGTGGCATGTGGCAATGTGTCCATGAGTGGTTGCCATCATAATTAATGAACAAGGGCATTGCAGAAGGGCAATAAGCTCATCCATCCATAACTCTTGCACATGTCGACCACGTCACGAGAATGCATCCAGAGCCACATGGAACACAGTCTGATGATTCACTGCTGACAGCCAACTTCGTGACGTGGTCCCTACTGCAAGTGGAAGGCCTATGTGATGTCCTCGTAATCGACATCATGCAGAGGGCAGAGAAGACGTCATGGTGCCAGAGCCATGCATGCTCTGTCCAAGATATAAGGCGTGTCAGAATGCCGAATATGGACCTCTAAACAACAACAAAGGACAACAACAAGCTCTTACTTGACCTTCTAACAACGTAACTCAACATGGCCCCCCTCGAGTTCCTGCAGACGACTCTGGTCAACGGAACCGAAAACCCCGTCTACATCCTCTTCCCCCCCGCCCCGCCCCTGGAGATCCCCGCGAACAAGGCTCTCAAGGAATACTCCGCCAAGATCGACGAGATCTTCGTGTACGACGACGACGAGGAAGCCGAAGACTGCTACACCCTCAAGGCGCCACTGGCCCTGGGCCCCGAAAGCCATGTGACGATCGTCGAGGAGCCTAGCGGCCTGGTCCTCATGTACCGCCACAAAGACAGCCACGTCGAACAGCGCACTCCGCTTGAGAGAACCTCGGGCGGCCACCAGCTCCACAACGAGGTGGAAACGCACCCCCTCGAGCCCACCACGGAGCTGCACCACCTCCTCGGCATCGCCGACGAGCACGCGCGCGACGCAGTGACCAATCTGAATGCGGGCGATGCATCCGAGCTCACCAGCTCAAGGGACGCATTCATGAGCATGTTCGCCGGGCCGGTTCAGGTCGAGCCAACCCCCAAAGCGCTGGGCGGCGGCCCAACCACGAGCGCAATCGGCGGCGCTCCAACACCCACCACAGGTCCCCCGCCAACCAGCGGCACACCCCCCAGCTCAGCAAACGTAACGATCGTCTCCAACGCCGCGCTCAACGACCCCCTTCTCGGCGCGGCAACCGTAAAAGCCTACGAGGACATGCAGAGCCTCATGTCGGTGATCATGCTGCTTGCGTCGTTCGCGCTGGAGGACAAATCGCGCGAGCTGAAGCGCAAAATCAGCCCGATTGACGACACAGCGCTCTGGATGAAGACCGCCGCCGACGCATACCTCAAGGCGCCCTTCGACCCACTGCTCGCTGGGATCCTGATTGCGTCCTCGATGGGCGGCAACACGATCAACCGGACGTGCCTGCGCAGCGAGGTGCACGCGAACTTCCTGCACGAGTTCGCGAAGGACTTCGCGGTCGACCCGGATGCGTATAAGACGCTGGATAAGATGCTGACTGAGTTTACGCGCTCCATTGCAAACGGGAACATCAGCCAGTCGCAGCAGGTGAACTTTGCCATGGCCACGCCGTGGATCCCCATTAACAAGATCCCCGGGTCTGCGTTCTCAATGGTGATGCCCAGGCTCAAGGTGTACTATATCAGTGCGGCGTCGAGCACGTTCACGGAGATCGTCAGGCAGGGCAAGAGCAGTACCAGCGTGGAGAAGGTGAATCTGCGGTTCCAGTACAATTGCCAGATCTGTGACCTCAATGCGGCGGTTTGGAACGGGAAGAAGGCGCAGTTCGACGCTGGGCTGCAGGCTATCACCGGCAGGAACTTTGCCAACCTCCAGGGTGGCGTCGGCCAGACTGTTATTGTACCTTAGGCCAATGTCTCGAGGTCATTTTCATGTGCTTTATCAGGCTCCATTGGATATGGTCTGCAAAAGTTAGTGTTAGCCATGTTTTGCACGCAGTAAGCTACCTAGGGTACCTGTTTTCAGCAAGCTTCACATATTCTTATCCCAAGTCTGTACGTAAACATTTTGAACTTTTTTCGTATATTTATCGGAACTGTGGGTTCTCTGAATGAAGATAAACATCAGTTCATATAAACTGCTCTCTACGAGCTATATATCTTACCTTTGCGTCTGTAAGTTGTCGTAGACATTCTCAAAGGCCCCAATGGTCCATAACCGACACGCCCTATCAATAGGAGAGAGTCAGTATTGAGAACCCCGCCGAGTGGATAACAATCGTAGTGAATGTTGAGGCTGCCCCAGGTTGTAGTAATCAACACGTACTGGAGCCCGTCCAGCAGTACCAAACTAAACATTTAGCACAGTCCAGGCACAAAATGGGGGCCGACTGGGCCGGTAATCTAAGTTACCCAAGTCGAAAGGCTTGTTCGTTTTCCTTATACCACCTGAGTCGATTAAAATAGGTTGTTAACTTTTCGGCGCTTCATTGACCTACCCTGCAGTGGCTTTCATGCACATAGGACTAATTCCGCCTTTGGTGAAGCCCAAGAGGAAGTGCTGGGTGTACACGGGCAACCCCCGGTGATTGGCAACTCCCAGGCAATCACTTAGCACCACTTAGGGCTACGCGGCACGGGCCAATCGTAACTTTCTCCAAAGAGTGTCATGCAGCATTTTGATAACTGAGAAGGTGCAAGATCATATACATAGCAGCAACTATCCTTCAACTGGAGTCAGTCCATCGATTCCTCTAGCCATAGGAAACTCAAAACAAACACACACCAAAGGCACCCGTAGTCAACAAGGAGATGGAGAAGATCAGGACGCAGTTTAGCTAGCAACTCGGCTAGTCGAGCACGGCTGCGGCTATCTCATCCACCGTGAAGGGTGTCACGCCGCAGTTCTTTGACGTCAAGGATGCGGGCCTGGAAAACAGGGAAGTTATACATGATGGACTGGAGCTGTTGCGTTCACGCACGAGGGAGCCAGTTCTTGGATACCAGAGGTAGTAGGTAGCTGCGGGTATCCAGGGTATCGGGATGGTCAGGGTGTTTTTGTTGGCGGTGATCTTGGCACGGCTTTTTGTGGCGAGGACTTGCCGGAGTGGTATCCGCAATTTTTACCTGCGAACAGAAGCGATTGGAAGTTTAGAAGGAACTGGGAGCGGAAATCTGAGGAGCAAGTTGTAGAATGTGCACGAGCTAACGTGGCCTCGGGTCTTATGCTTTCTGCGCTGTTTGACTCTCACTGTGGACCCTTGACACATGATTGCCAGAAGAATCATCTCTTTTCGTTCCGACAGGACTAGGGCGTTATGATAAGGCACGGTTGTCAAGTATGCACCCCAACATGGCTGTGGAATCGCGATGGCGTGGTACAAGGGCGCCTGTCAGCAAGTCCCTTCAGCGTCACCTCAAATCCAGCATTAACACATTGGCTTGAGACCACCTCCAAAAGGCGTCCTCCACCCACTTGAGGAGAGTTGCAAGCATAATATTGCCTTTCGGCCATCCAGAGACTCGGTAATGCACGCTAATCGGTTCTATGCCAAACTACCCCATGGCCATTCCCGTCCCTTGTACTTGGCACAAATATCCATTCGGCTCCTCGCAGGCTCGCAGAATGGCGCTGGATAGAAAAGGCAGCTCCCTAATGACATCAGCATCCTCCCGAGTAAGTCTCTCCAGCATCTTCCAATGCGCCATGTGCCGAGTAGCCGTCGTTTCGGGACCGTCATCCCTAGTGGGCTTTGTTTCAGGACTCATCGTGAGATGTCTTAGCTTTAGAGCCCGGGTAGCACGCGAGGTCGATTGACTCCATGCCCAGCTGTTCGTTTTCCATAGATAAACGCCAAGGCAGTCCCTGCCGCTTTGCTGTCGTGTCTCGGTTGAAATGAGTATGCGAAGTCGATTATTCTTAGCGCCGTGGAAGAGACGGCACGGGATAGGGAACTGTAGGCAAAGATAATGAGAGCCGTAGTATCGGAGAGCTTTTCCTTGGTTGCTGATAAAGCCAGGTGGGGGACGCACCTATCGAGGAGTGCGACTGAGTTGGAGCTCGAGTAGATGAAAACAGTAAACTGGGGAGGGAAGTTAGTCGCATATGAAAACGATCACCTGGAATCTTTCATGAATTCGCTAGTATCTCATATAGAGGTCGGGGCCTCCAAGCAAGTACTGTCATGACTATCCACAAACACTATAATATCACCAAGGGACTTAAAGGCATACCTTCCCAACCCCGATCAAACATAACGCTCAGCCAATGCAACCTACAGCAAACCTTGTACTCGGAAACGGGGGCGTAGGAGCACGTATCCTCTTGTCCGCAGAGTTGGTTAGCCGCGTCTCCCTCCGTCCCAAGAAGGTCGAATATTGTGAACTGAAGTCATCAGCGAAGAACAGCGCTCAGGATAAGGAACATAAACATACCGTTGATTGGCCCTATCAGCATCAGCGTCCCGCCTCGCCCACACCTCCTGCACAATCTCCCAACAGCAGTCCACGTTCCTGACTCGCAGACGTGATATCATCGCCAGCCAGCGCTGCTGAATCCACGTCCGACCACCATCACCCACGACCTCGCAGCTAGCAATCAGCAGCGCGAAGATCTGAAGGTTCGTGGTGCGGCTCGTCGGCGGAACCATCGCCAGCTGGACAAGGATCTTCCGCGAAAGTCACGCGGCAGGCTCGGAAGGTGCTTCAGGAACAGCCTGATGGAGGTACAAAGGGATTGCGTGGCGAAAAGCATCTGCGATGTGACTTGCATGGCGAACTTGGCTGCTTAGGTCCTGAATCGTTTCATAGACCGCCGCGCTAGGGGGCGTCCATTGCTGTAATTTAACTTGAGGCTCGCCGGCCTGGCTGATCAGTTGAAGGTAAACAGGTTATCCCTCGCAGACCTGCTGCGCGATATGAGCCACTCCCGCAAGGTGAGGAAGAGTGAGGCGTGGCATCCAAGGAGTGGATCAATCTCTAGTAAACCCATAATTGGGACATTCGTTGCGGATAAAAGCTCTTCGTGCATAGCATCGTCGTCCATTTTATCTTCCAGATCTGTTAACCCGGATATAACATCGAGGTAAATGAATGCGCTGCACAAGTACCGCAAATCACGCGCCTGTTCCGTGCTCCCTCGTAGGAGTGGTCGATTACTTGGATCTAGAATCCAGCTCTTCAGGACACCCCTTGCCCCAAGCAGATGGCGGGCGAATCTACTGCTAAGCGGCCGTTCCCAGCCCTCTGCAAAGGCAAGGGCGAGAGATGCCAGCACCGGTACGAAACGGGAATCTTTAATATCAACAATAAGCTCTTGGATGCTGGGTTGCGGTTCTGGATGCTGCAAAGCTGGAGACTTGGTTCATCGTATGAGGCATGGGCGGCGGCCATAGAGGAAATGGTATGGGATACGGCAGGCGAGGAAAGCGGTCCGATCAGTTTTCACCAGAGTTTCTCAGTTTACCCATTGACGGAAAGTATGACACATGCGTCTATAGAGAACCGCTACATCAGTATTTCCGGTGAGTTGTGGTCGGTAGATGGTTGCGCGAGGAGGGGTGGAACGAGGTCATCGATCGGACTGGAGTTGAACAGCTCATGCAGGGAATGGAATGGGCTGTCTCAAGCGAAGAGGTCCGCTTCAGTGGGATAAGCCGGCTGGGCTTCTGAAGTCCCTACTGGCTGGTTTTTCTGTGTGGTAGATGGTGTTGGTATCGGTGCGGGAAGTTCTGGATTTCCGAGATCTCCAAGACATGAGCGGCAGAGTCAAGGCTGAACGCAAAGGTGACGTCGACGTAGAAGAAGTATCCTCATCTAAATCCTCAAGTCTAACCGCAGACACACCTCGTGGCATTTGTCGAGACCTTGTTGCTAGAGAAGATGCAATAGATACCCTGTTGACCACTCGCCATTTGAGGTCTTTCTTCCTATAGCTCTCACAAGGAACGCGAGAGTTTTGGTGGCAGAACGGCTTGGTCTGGTCGCATTTCAGGCGTCGCTCTTTGCATGTCACACAGCCTGCATGGTGTTATATTGTGGACAGTGCTGGTAGGATTAGCGCACCGTTTTGGCTCCTTACAGCTCTCGACATTGCTGCTAGATTTCGTGCATGTTACACAGGAGGGGATAGTAGACAGAAACAGTCTACTCCAAGCTGATGGAACGGTTGGAGAGACGAGGACAAGGAATCTTATTGGTTTGAGCCAACCTGCCCAGAGTATAGGGCCGTGGCCGTGCTTATCTGCGGGGAGGTTGGAGATTCTATCGCCGAGGGTGGACGACAGGATCAACCCATTGTGGACTACTTCTTATGCCTGGCTGTCGATACTCCCACGCAGCCAGTCTCTCCATCCACTGTCGCTCAAGATCGATCTTACGCGAGCCTCAAGCCACTCGGTATTTCCCCAGAAGCCCCAAGAAGCCTGGAATCTACACCAGTCAACAAGAGCCGTCTCCCAGTGTCGTTTGAACGTTTTCCATTCGTAAAAGTCCGACCCTTTATCCCGTACCAAAAAAGAGCGGTAACGCTCTAGCAGTCGCCTTTCGCCGTCACTCATTGCCAACTGATCAGGCAAATACTCATCATCAACGAGTATATCCAACGGCACCGAACAGGTAAATAGTTTGGCGAGGTCACAGACTCCGAGCCCTAGGCCGACGTACTGGAAGTCAAAGAACGCCACTCGCTCTCCATCGCGTGTCGTGAACAGGTTCTCCGACTTGACGTCGCCATGAATCAATGATTCCATTGGTCTTCCAGAAGGGGTTAATAGCAGCGCGACCACCTCAGCAACGGACAGTTTGAGGTCTTCGAATGGGCCGCACAAGGCCTCTGACCACTCCGAGTAAGAGTCGTCGACGAGCGAAGCGTACTCTTTCCGCCGCGTCGCGAGGTACGTGTATCCTCCGTTGAGCCAAAGCTCTTTCCCAACTTTACCTCCGCCTTGCCTTCTCTTGTTTTCTTCCAGAGGCGGCAAGACATATTGGTCAAGGCTATCCGGCAGCCGTCCCCATGAGCGGCTGTGAAAGCGAGCGAGCCAGTCCAGCGCCCCGTGAACCTGCACGCCGCTTAGAACAGCCCTTTTCTCTCCGGAAACTGGGTATTTAGGACGCAGGTCGACCATGACAGTCGCTATTAAACCCTTCAGCTCATCCTCGCCTTCGTGACCGTTCATATCTCGCGTCGAAGCGAGGCACTTAGCAACGGCAATGTCATCGCCTAGGAGTGGCACCGTATGGGTGTAGAAGTACTGCTCCACCTCGTAGCTTAGCATCTTCCGTAGGTGGCCTTCATCCGCATTGTCAGAGCTCTTCTTCGGTGGAGATATAAGCTTGAGGATAAGGGGGTAGGTAGACCCATCTGTTCCGGATTCCACTCCGCAGAGCTTGTCCAGGTGCTCCGCTGCCTTTTTGCTGGTGGCTCGCGCGGTGATGGCGCAGATGTACCCGTACCCTGCCCAGAGTCTCTGTAGCGTTGTACATGACACGAGGTCAAGCGAGTGCCAAGACAGCATGATGCTCGCGACGCGGTTGGGGTCTGGAGATGACATATTTGGAGTCCGCCAAACGCAAATAGTCTATTATTCTTTGGAGATTTCGCGCGCAAATTAAGTTGCGGTCTATGTAGGTATGTGCAGGAGAAATCCAAAATAGGAAAGACAACGGCCCGCCGCAGCCGAAAGGTTTCTCCGCTCCGAGCGGCCTCAATCTTTCTCCCCGCGATCGACAAGATAGACTGCGAAACACAAACCCACAACCGATCGCCATGGTCTACTACTTTACGTCAAATGTGGTGCAGCCGTCTGCCTACATTTATATGGGCAAAGACAAGTTCGAGAGTGCGGCTGCCCCGACGCAACGACGAGACGGTACTAACCGCAGCAGACGAGGATCTGATCAAATACGGACTGGAGAAGGATGTCTGGTACAGTTCCTGCAAGCTTATCTCCTCGCAATCTGGGCTGACGCTAACCGAAGAGGTTCAACTCGCAGGGTTCGTTGTGAAACCCCCACGTCTATACGAGGCCGCGCCTAACGTACCCGTTTCAGTTCCACGTCGATAACCTCTCGAGCGCCCACGTCTACGTCCGCCTCCGCGACGGCGAATCATGGGACAACATCGCCGAGGAACTCCTGGTAGACTGCGCGCAGCTCACCAAGGCCAACTCAATCGAGGGTCAGCTGCCACCCGCATCCCGACCCGGCTTGGACAGCTCCTAATAGGCGGACAGGAAACAAGAAAGATAATATCACGGTCATCTATACGCCCTGGTCGAATCTGAAGAAGGACGGATCGATGGCGGCGGGGCAGGTCTCGTTCCACAACCACAAGCTCGTCAAGAAGGTTTTCGTCGCGCAGCGGGAGAACCCGATCGTCAACCGGCTGAACAAGACCAAGGTCGAGAAGTTCCCCGATTTGCGGGCGGAGAAGGAGGAGTACAAGAGCGTGCAGCTGAGAGAGGAAAGGAAGTCTCGCGAGGAGAAGAAGAACAGGGAGAAGCAGGAGAAGAGGGAGCGGGAGCAGCTGAAGTGGCAGAAGGATCACGCGTACGACGATATGTTCTCGGCGGAGAACATGGAGGCCAGCAATAACCAGGACCGGGATCCGGATTTCCTGGACGACTTTATGTGAGGTCTCTCTATTCATACCATGGTCCATGATGCAATATACCCTCAACTTTACCCGTTCGGAGTTCCAAGGTCAACTTGAGCGGATCGCAAGCCAATGACAGCCAGTACAATGTAAGCCGAGTGCGTATTCGTACTACCTGGTACCCTGACCCTGTAAGTTCTCGGCATCAAGGATAGTAGCAGCGGTCTGCGGAGTCGGGCGAGGCCGGCCCGAGGGAAGCTCGTGGGTCTTGGCGCCGCGGACTGCGGGCGGAACTTTCTGGCCTCCCTCTTCTTACAGTCTGTCAGTACTCCGTAGATCAACCATTGTAAGTTTCTACATCCGCCATGAACTGCCCATCCCGCACCGACGACACCCTCCCCCACGACGACTGGAACCAGAACCCCCCGTTTCTGGCGCCTGACCTCACAACCCGTCAAGATCTCAACGGCATCTCCAACGCCCGCGAGTTCAAGGATGCCGGCGCGGGGGGCCCTGCCATGCAGCACTGCCTGCACGACGCAGACGTACCGCCAACATCCAAGTCGGAATCCGAAGTGTCGCAGCATATGCAACACTGGGCGTCTCTGACCCAGTCAGGTAGGCCAAGGACCCTGCCCCGTGGGTTACAGGCGATGCACTAACACCCGACAGGACGCCCAAACGGTCGAGCTGAACGTGCTCGATTGTCTTATTTTTTGCATAAACTGAAGGGCTGGTGCTTATGGCTGCTTTCTGTTTTGGCCACAGCCTTTCTACTTTCCGCTAGTGGTCTTGTTGACCGGTTGACCTCGACTAGCACGGTTGTTCCTTTCCAGCAAGCGAATATGGCTTCGGTTGGATATCTTGACCAGAGCCATGCTCCGTTGAGGAGATACTCCAAGCGGCAGTCCTGCGCCTCGGGCGGCGTCGATAGCAGCCAGTACAACACCTCGCTGCACGTGGGAGCACTGTTCATCATCCTTGGAGTCTCGACTCTTGCCTGTGCTCTCCCTATCCTGGTCATTCGCTTCTCTCGCCTGCGCATCCCGCCGGCGTTCCTCTTTTTTGTGCGCCATTTTGGCACTGGAGTGCTCATCGCTACGGCCTTTGTACACCTACTCCCCACCGCGTTTACCCTACTAGGCGACCCATGTCTGTCGAGTTTCTGGACCACCGACTACCCTGCCATGCCGGGGGCCATATCCCTAGCCGGGATTTTCCTCGTCACCTTGATCGAGATGGTCTTTAGTCCGGTTCGCCAGGCCACCAGGAAAGTCTCCAAGCAAACCGATCAAGAGTCGGCACCCACCCCCACGGAGCCTCACTCTGTATATATATCCGGCGGCATCAGCCGAGAAGAAACCTGCGACTGCGATCGCAGTCCTCAGATACGCCCGAAGGGACCGCTAGTCGGGCGAGCTTCGAGTTTCAGCCGCGCAATCCATCGCATTGGCGAGGAATCCGACAGGGTCTATCGCATCTCGTCTGCCCCCGAAGCCAGCCCTCTCCCGCAGGTCAGCGAAGTCAGCGAAGTCAAGCGATTCACCGACCGCCAAGGAAGCGTGGACGAGTTCCAGCTGTCAGAGAAGCAGAAGTACAACAAGGATGTCATGCAGGTGTTTATGCTCGAAGTTGGGATTCTGTTCCACAGTGTCTTCATCGGCATGTCCTTGAGTGTATCCGTGGGGAATGAGTTTGTGGTTCTTCTGATCGCCATTGTTTTTCATCGTATGTCTCCACAGTGGCACGCCATCTCTGTAAGCTGCTAACGAGGATAGAAACCTTTGAAGGACTTGCGCTGGGCTCTCGCATCGCGAGCTTGGAATGGCCCGCTAAGGCGGCTCAGCCGTGGCTCATGTCGCTGGCTTATGGGTGCACGTACGTTCCCAACTTCATCTCACCTTCATCACTAATTACTCGTAGGACACCCATCGGCCAAGCCATTGGCATCGCAACGCATTCCCTGTACAGTCCCGACTCGGAGGTTGGACTCCTCCTAGTGGGAACAATGAACGCCATTTCGGCAGGACTGCTGATTTTCGCCTCGTTGATCGAGCTGCTGTCGGAAGACTTTCTTAGTGACGAGAGCTGGCGAGTATTACGCGGTCGCAGCCGAGTAATTGCCTGCGCCCTGGTATTCTTAGGGGCGTTCTGCATGAGTCTGGTAGGCGCGTGGGCGTAGTTCGGGACTTCTCGGTCCGCCACATTCGGACCGTGGAAGCGCCCGAGGGGTTGTCCCTGACCCAGTCCGCAATCGGCGCGCTCCGATTGGCCCACCCCGCTTATCGGGCTCACCGCCTCCGACAGCGGTGAATCATTTTCTCCCGCTGCTGATTCTCTTTCTTTCATCTCCCATCCTCACCGTATCACTGTCTTTGTGCTTGTCGTCGTCGCTCTCTCGTTGCGCCTCGTCACTCTTTACCTGGCCGCAATGTCCGCCTCGCTCCCTGGCGACCGGGACCTCCCTCCCTCGCAGTATGACCTGAGCACTTACTGGGGTCGCGTGCGCCATGCGGCCGACATTTCTGATCCAAGGTATTTCCCTTGACTCGCTCTGGTGAACTCGGCTAATCTGCAGGATGCTACTCGTCTCTTCAGCGGGCCTGGACCAGGCGAAGCGCCTTATCTCCCAGTATAAGCAGAACGAGATTCCGGCGATGAATGCGGAGTTGTGGAAGGCGAAGAAGGTGGTGGATTCGACGCTGCATCCTGGTGCGCTGCCTCCTTCAACCCGTCGCTGGCAACGCTAACTGTATACTCGATAGACACCGGCGAGCCCGTCTTCCTCCCCTTCCGCATGTCATGCTACGTCCTCTCCAACCTGGTCGTCACGGCGGGAATGCTCACGCCCGGTCTTCAGGTATGCGCCCTACAATCAAGAAGTGGATGTATCTGACGGGATAGACAACGGGAACCCTCCTCTGGCAAATTGCCAACCAGTCGCTCAACGTGGCCATCAACAACGCCAACTCCAACAAGTCCACCCCCCTCTCCGTCTCGCAGATGGCCAAGTCCTACCTCATGGCCGTCTCCGCCTCCTGCTCCGTCGCTCTCGGTCTGAACGCCCTCGTCCCCCGTCTCAAGAACGTCTCCCCCAACACCCGCCTCATCCTCGGCCGACTCGTCCCCTTCGCCGCCGTCTCCAGCGCCAGCGCGCTGAACGTCTTCCTCATGCGCAGCGAGGAAATCCGCCAGGGTATCGATGTCTACCCCGTCCCCGAGAAGGAGGGCGAGCCGGTCCAGAGTCTGGGCCGGAGCAAGGTGGCTGCGAAGATAGCTGTCGGCGAGACGGCTATTAGCCGTGTCCTGAACGCGACGCCCATCATGGTTGTCCCTCCGCTCATTCTCGTCCAGCTGGAGAAGAGGAAGCTGCTCAGCCCGCGGATGGTCCTCCCAGCCAACCTGGGTCTGGTCCTCGCCACATCACTCTTCGCCCTCCCCCTGGCCCTCGGAGCGTTCCCCCAACGACAAGCCATCAGCGCCGCGTCGCTGGAAGAGGAGTTCTGGAACCGCGGCGGAAAGGACGGCAAGGTTGAGTTCAACCGGGGCATGTAAGCCCTCCCTTCTCATTAATGTATAGACCAGACCAGACCTGCTAGAGCTTTTTGCGATTACGTATTACAAGCATACCTACATATGATATCTATATCCAATGCAATTAGAAATACAATTTCCCAACACCTTCTCTCCCTATGACCGAGTCAGCCCATCCAACTCATGCACCTCCGGCGGCTTGGCCGTGCTATCCAGCTCGGGAATCGGATCCGGCTTCGCCCCATACACGCCCAGTCCATGGCCGGACCCGCGCTGATGCTGCCGGAAGTGCTCGTCGCTCCCGCTGATCTCGGAGATCGGTCGCCCGCCCTCAGACCCCAGGGGCGGCGAGAGGCTCGGGCTGAAGCCGGAGGGGTACTTGGTGCCGCTGCTGATTGTTGTCTGCCCGGGGCTGGAGAAGTGCGAGTCTGCAAACACTGTTAGCACCTCGCCTCACATCCAAAGAAAGAAAATAAACGAGGAAGGGGGTCATACCCTGATACGGCGACGTCGGATTCTGATACCCGTACTCCCCAGAAGGCCCA